ACAAGCAGACTTTCTACACGCAGCATGGCTCGCGTAACAACTGTACACTTACAACTGTTTACTAATATTGATATACTATAGGTTAGGCCAGAATCAACTTAAAATAAACAAATATGCAGTACGCTCTCGGTAAAGTTTATGGCCTATACAATTTGTAAAGGATTAGCGTACATCATCGTACTCTATACACTATAACCTCGTTGACAATTCCTGAACATATTGTTTGTTTTTTTTCACTTAAAAGAGTAATTTTCCAGGAACCCCAAATCTGTGTTTACATGAAATGTGTACTGCAGTTTCTGGGAGGAATACAAACACAACTCTATCTTTGCAGCACCTGAGTAGGTTTACATTCCTCCCATAATCTACAAAACACTTTCTATGTACGTAAACACAGTTACGGTCATTCCTAGTATTTTACTGAAATATATCCACCATAGAGTGATGTAAACTAATCCTTTACTAATTGTACAAGTCATGTACTCCGCTTTCAAAGGTCAATCGGTTTATTACAGAACTCGGGGGTGATTTTTGAAAATAATTTTCTTCATTTAAGCAGAAATAGATTTTCAATTAAAAAAACTTAATAAGACTGTGGACATAATTTCAACTGATCTTTTCCGTTTATAGAGAGGTATGTACGGTTCACAATGGTACCCGTAAACATCTGTTTTATTATGAAGGCACGAGATAATTTTCTCTTTGAAAGTAGATTACTTAAATTGTGATTTCTCTGGAAAGTGACTTGCGAAGGTTACTTTTTAAAACAATGGAGGAAATGATCAGAATTCAACAACTTTCGTCGTTTCGAGCTACATATATACGACAAGATCAGATACAGGCATAAAGGGTACCGTTGTGAATACATCATGTACTTTGTACATGTACTTACATGGACTTACGTACTAATCAATTCTTTTAAGTAAAAAGATACAAAACCTTCGCATACTTGTACTCCGAAAGCGTACTGCATATTTGATGTTTGTACTGTATGAATAGGCCGTAATCTCTATATATCTTTTATCAATAAACTGTCCTAATTGTACACTCAATTGTATACAAGGACAGGTAGCTAAGATCCAGCCTCCCTGGACATATCTAAATTATTATAATTTAAAGACATGAACATTTTTTTGGATCAAGAAATATATTGAAAATATTTTTAAAAACAATTTAGTTTGCGAATCATATGTCTGTTTGATTAGGTTTATTTTACTTCTATGGATTTTGGGGAAAGTCTTTTGCAATTAGATTTTCTTGGAGTTTAGAAAAGTTTGTTTACAAAAGAAAAAATCATATTATCTCGGCATTTTATTTGATTACTGTTCGATGTTCACATAAAATAAAATATCTTGTAATAGTTGTATTATATTATATCTGATAAAACAAGTGTGGGGATTATAAGGAAAGCCCGTGAAAAAATCCCCCGGGCAACGCAGGCAGAAATATTTCGGTAAAGTTGATTTTTTTTATCAAATCCGCAACTCATCCTGGACTTGAAAAGAGATTTTTGATATCTTATATTTTCCAGGAACGTTTGATCATGATATGGCAAACCAGCGGGCCCAGCAGGAATTCACGAATATCAGTTTTATTTGATCTAATTTATCTAGCTCACGGATTTAACAAGAGTATACAATAATATTTCATTTCTTTTAAACTAATGCTTTTCCTTGCTCAAAAATGTCTAAAAAAGTTTTTTTGTTTTTTTTTCTACAATTGTTTTTTCTTGTTTCTATTTGTAAATTCACAATAAACAAAACAAAAAACTGATGAAGTAACTTCTTCAAAATTCTTAAAGCTTTCCTATTCTTTGTTTGTGGCTTTGATAGCTATTTTGACTTTAGATTTCAGGGCGCTTAGCGTAATTTCTTTTTTTCGTTTCTTTTATCTTTGGCCATTTTCCCTTCATACAAAATTAAGCAAGAGCAATTATTTTTGAAAATATCACAATAGAATGAAACAGTTTGAATAAATGTATCTATGTTATACAAAATGTTTTATTCGTGAATGAATCTGCAGTATGTAATCAGTTGTAAAGAACTTGAATACAATGATACCTTCATCTATCACGCGAACAGGTCAATTAGTCCCATATATATCACTACGCTACATTTACTTATTATTGTCAAAAAAACATTTAGTTTTACGTCTAGATATATAAACATTCAGAATGTACAATGTATTCAGAATATTGTATGTTTGTATGTATGTATGTACACTGTACGATGTATACGCTGTACCCAACAAATGGCAGTTTTTGTCGTAAACTTTTCGAAATTGACAAAAAATCAGTTATTTTATTTTTTTAAACACACCACTTTAAATACGCCCTCTATTTCTATTATTATAATATTATATCTATCTATTTTAAGTTTGTATTTTCTTTTTTTAGAACTTTTTCCCAGACAGGATTTCAGGTAGTTAATTTTCAAAACTAAAATGTTATTTTTAATTTTACAGAATAATAAAATATATTTTCAATATTTCATATTTCAAATGAGAAGATGGAAAATCAATTGCTGACCATTACTGGGAAATAAAAGTTGTAAATTGCAAACATTTATCAATGAAAATTAGATACTAAAAGCTGGACAATGTAAGCCAATTCTTTAAACTTTCAAAAACTTTATAAGAAGGATTTAAAAATTAGGATTTTTTCTATTTAGTTTTTTTTAGTTAAAACGCATTTGTTTTTTTCCATCCATACTGCAGTATTTGTTTCAATCTAAAATCTCGGATGCAAAAAAAAGTTTCCATGCATTGTGTTTTTTGTTTTCTTTTGATTACATTTTTTGCAGTTTCTAGATTTCGATTTGTGAACATTCCGGGGTTATACGTGATTTCCTAAACATATTTCAAGGGGACCCATAATTTCAGAAGCTATAGGAAGTAATATGTTGTAGAAAAGGTTAGAATTAAAAAGTTAATCTTAGGTTGATTTGATAAGAAGAAGAACTCCAGTCCTTCTTCAGGTATTTTTATATTTTCTTTGTTTTGATATACTTAGGTTTACCTCAATACAAGGCTATATTGTTCAGGTTTACCTCAGTACAGGGCTATATTGTTTAGGTTTACCTAAATACAGGACTATTTATTGTTTAGGTTTACCTCAATACAGGACTATTTATTGTTAAGGTTTACCTCAATACAGGGCTATTTATTGTTTAGGTTTACCTCAATACAGGGCTATTTATTGTTAAGGTTTACTTCAATACAGGACTATTTATTGTTAAGGTTTTCCTCAATATAGGGCTATTATTGTTTAGGTTTACCTCAATACAGGACTATTTATTGTTTAGGTTTACCTCTATACAGGGCTATTTATTGTTTAGGTTTACCTCAATACAGGGCTATATTGTTTAGTTGTACCTCAATACAGGACTATTTATTGTTTAGGTTTACCTCAATACAGGGCTATTTATTGTTAAGGTTTACCTCAATACAGGACTATTTATTGTTAAGGTTTACCTCAATACAGGGCTATTTATTGTTAAGGTTTACCTCAATACAGGGCTATTTATTGTTTAGGTTTACCTCACTATAGGACTATTTATTGTTAAGGTTTACCTCACTACAGGACTAATTATTGCTATGGTTTACCTCAATACAGGACTATTTTATTGTTTAGGTATACCTCAATACAGGACTATTTTATTGTTTAGGTTTACCTCGATACAGGACTATTTATTGCTATGGTTTACCTCAATACAGGACTATTTATTGTTTATGTTTACCTTGATACAGGACTATTTTATTGTTTAGGTTTACCTCGATACAGGACTATTTTATTGTTCAGGTTTACCTAAATACAGGACTATTTTATTGTTATGGTTTACCTCAATACAGGACTATTTATTGTTTAGTTTTACCTCACTACAGGACTATTCATTGTTTAGGTTTACCTCACTACAGGACTATTTATTTTTAAGATTTACCTCAATACAGGACTATTTAGTGTTAAGATTTACCTCAATACAGGACTATTTTATTGTTATGGTTTACCTCAATACAGGACTATTTATTGTTTAGTTTTACCTCAATACAGGACTATTTATTGTTTATGTTTACCTTGATACAGGACTATTTTATTGTTTAGGTTTACCTCAATAATGGACTATTTTATTGTTTAGGTTTAACTCGATACAGGACTATTTTATTGTTCAGGTTTACCTAAATACAGGACTATTTATTGTTAAGGTTTACCTGGATACAGGACTATTTTATTGTTATGGTTTACCTCAATACAGGACTATTTATTGTTTAGTTTTACCTCACTACAGGACTATTCATTGTTTAGGTTTACCTCACTACAGGACTATTTATTGTTAAGATTTACCTCAATACAGGACTATTTTATTGTTATGGTTTACCTCAATACAGGACTATTTATTGTTTAGTTTTACCTCACTACAGGACTATTTATTGTTTAGGTTTACCTCACAATAGTACTATTTTATTGTTTAGGTTTACCTCACTACAGGACTATTTATTGTTTAGGTTTACCTCACTATAGGACTATTTATTGTTTAGGTTTTTCTAAATACAGGACTATTTATTGTTTAGGTTTACCTCACTACAGGACTATTTTATTGTTTAGGTTTATCTCACTGTAGGACTATTTATTGTTTAGGTTTTCCTCAATACAAGACTATTTATTGTTAAGGTTTACTTTACTACAGGACTATTTATTGCTTAGGTTTACCTCACTACAGGACTATATATTGTTTAGGTTTACCTCACTATAGGACTATTTTATTGTTTAGGTTTATCTAAATACAGGAATATTTATTGTTTAGGTTTACCTCACTACAGGACTATTTTATTGTTTAGGTTTACCTCACTGTAGGACTATTTATTGTTTAGGTTTACCTCAGTACAGGACTATTTATTGTTAAGGTTTACTTTGCTACAGGACTATTTATTGTTTAGGTTTACCTCACTACAGGACTATTTATTGTTTAGGTTTACCTCAATACAGGACTATTTATTGTTAAGGTTTACTTTACTACAGGACTATTTATTGTTTAGGTTTACCTCACTACAGGACTATTTATTGTTTAGGTTTACCTCACTATAGGACTATTAATAGTTTTGGATTACCTTACTACAGAACTATTTATTTTGTAGGTTTACCTTACTACTGGACTATTTGTTGTCGTCAGTTGGATCTCGTTCATTGTTCCTCCAGAGGTAGTTCCAGGTATGAACTTTATTTTCCCATGTTTATTGGAAATCCCTGTACTCTTATCCATATTTGATGAATAGGGTCCTAGTTTAGAACGGTTTCAGATATTCCATTAGAAATATGTATTTTCATTCTGTGTATTTTCACGTATGTAAGGATGTATGCCAACAATAATTAAGTTAAATACTGGTCAAAAACTTCTAGACGAATAGTTCTACTAGTAATTATATTCCTTTTTCTGATGTAAATAAAGATAATAATATTTATCTATTTCAGGACGAATGGCTCTACTGGAAACCCTATTCCTTGTCCTGTTGTATATAAAGATATATAATATTTATCTATTTCAGGACTAATGGCTCTACTGGTAACCCTATTCCTTGTCCTGTTGTATATAAAGATACATAATGTTTATCTATTTCAGGACGAATGGCTCTACTGGTAACCTTGTTCCTTGTCCTGGTGAATATATTTAATTCTGTTACTGCTAATGCTCCGAAGGTAAGAAAATGGTACTTTAAATATTTTTTAATGTATGCACGTTGTTTATTATTGTTGCAAATAAACAAGGTGTACCGACATGTTTGTATAAACGATGAAGAATATATATTTTTATATGTACATGATACATGTCGTCCAATTGTGCAGCAAAGCTGCTGTCTGTCTACTTTTGTATTGATGTCGGTTAGGCTAGGTTGCATGTATGTAAGATATGGGTGTTTGTACGTATGTATGCACCCCTAGTAAGTGTTTGTATGTTTGCAGTAAAGATTAAATGAAAGGTAAATGTTTAATAAATATTGGATTGAAGAAGGAATACTCTAGAATTATCCATTAACTTGAACAACGATGGTACAAGCTCTTCAAACCTTTTCATCAAAACAACCAGTCTATGTATGATTGGGAGCATTGTGTACGGTGTACATGCACTAAATAGAGAACTTACAACTCTTTTTTCATTCAGTTGTTTAATAATGTATATTCATAGAAACAATTTTCACACAAAATTTTGTTTTTCTTTAAATATTTAAATTGTAATTTCTTTAGAATAAAGAAAATATATTCATGTTCTTTTAAAAATATTTTTGTTTTATTTTTAGCATTAAATTAATTAAAATCGTATAGAAATTGACCTTTGCAACAGACTCTATTTTTCTATTCCCTTTATTTTGTAACCCAATGCCTTAGCTATTTCAAACTATGAATTCAGTTAATTAAAAGTTTGAAAAATCAATGCTTTGCATGATTGCATCAATAGGTGAGAAAGAAAAAGGGATTAGGAAATTAGATTTGGTTGCAAAAACTTAATTCCTTTAAGTGTTGAAATAAGTTTAGAAACCAATTTTATGAAATTATTATTTCCGTCTAATTATTTTCTTTTACATTTAAGTTTTAAAATTATTCATTAAATCCCTTGTGCAATGTATATTTATGTTTAGGCCGAGGGTTTAACAGCAGTAGAGATGTGGGTTGTTTCCTGCATTATTCATGTGTTTGCTGTACTTGCAGAGTATGCTGTTATACTTAAACTTATACAGGAATACAAACTTTTTATAAAGATTCATCATTCATTCATTCATTCATTAATTCATCCTTTCTTTCATCCTTTTATCTAACTAAAAAGATAAATTCTATTACTACAGAATTCATCTTCACTCTATTCATTCTTTTCAGTTAATATTATTAATTTTACTACTTTTCTCTATGTAGTCTACACCCATCCCTTCCGTTACAAACTTTTAAGAGAAATTAGATCAAAATATAATCATTGCTGTCTGAGAAATGAGATCAAAATATAATCATTGCTCTCTGAGAAATGAGATCAAAATGTAATCATTGCTCTCTGAGAAATGAGATCAAAATATAATCATTGCTCTCTGAGAAATGAGATCAAAATATAATCATAGCTCTCTGAGAAATGAGATCAAAATATAATCATTGCTCTCTGAGAAATGAGATCAAAATATAATCATTGCTCTCTGAGAAATTAGATCAAAATATAATCATTGCTGTCTGAGCAATGAGATCAAAATATAATCATTGCTGTCTGAGTAATGAGATCAAAATATAATCATTGCTCTCTACTGTTTTGGTTGTTAAGCACTAGCAGGGAATATATGAGGTTAAATATTTCTATTGGTGAGTTCTGCAGACTATCCGATATTGTTTCTCCTATGAAAACATGCTCAGAAGAGAACATAAAGTTGATGTTATACTATATCCTCCCCCCCCCCTCTCTTAACTCTCTTCAGGAATATTTCTAGTAGCTTTGGCTTAATAACTGTTACATCAATTATAGTATCTGCACACCTAATATAACGCCCAACGTAATTTTCAAACAAAATTAAGAAATACATTAAATAAAAAGGTTTTAAAATTTAGAATAACAAGAGGAAAGAATCTAGAGAACGACGGCGCGAGGATAGATTGGCCCGACAAGCAGAGTTTGAAAATGTTGCGCTCTTGAACGTGCACAGTACAGAGCGACAATGCTTGGTGCAGCGGGACGGAGAAACTGCGCTTTTAAATAATGGAAACAAAGACGACCAACCTCCCCAAATGAATGCGGCACATGCGCAAGGCATGCGTGTTCTAAAACAGCTGAAAAAGGACATTAAAAACGAAAGGAGCAAACAAGTACAGGAGCAAGTAGATATTGTGGCCATGTATTTATTCCCTGTTATATTCTTATTCTTTAATCTTTTATACTGGCCATACTATTTAATGTTTATTGAATGGTTTGGTTAAATTTTTTTAAAAGTTTATGTGATACATTTTTTTCATCCTTGGTGAATTCTTTTAGGGATATTGTCTTTGCCTAGAATTTCGTAAAATATACCAAAACATCTATCTAAATATCTATATTCTATATATCTACATGGGGTACCTTTTAAGAATGAGATTATACGAATGTTGATTGAGTTTATAAATCCTTATATGTATAATATTATAAAATTATGCCGTTGTATACTTAAATTAAAAATCAACTTTAAAACCATGAATTTATTGAGAAACAAAACACTGGGAAAATATTACAAGAAAATATATTACATTACATGGTATTAAATATTTTACTGACGAAGATTAATTCGCCTTCTCTGCAAAAATGGAACATTTTTGAAGCTAGATTTAGTTCTTTAGTTACCAAAAATGTTAGCATTAAAAACAATTTAGATAGAAGTCAAACTGAAAAGACGATGGGTTTCAGAAGGCGAAATAATACTTTACCTAGAAAGTTGATTGATAGTAAATGTTGATTGTGATGTACTGCACTTAATATAGGGTTATCCGCAAAGAATCTACATCACTCCTGTATGCCGAGTCCATTTGCGCCTGATCCAATCTGGGTTCAGTCATGTGTTTGTTGTCTATTCTGAACCAACAGAAATTGCATAGCGGTAACATCTATCTTTCTATCTATCTCATTATCCAATCAGAGATAAATCCTTATATCGGCGTTATACACTAAATGGAAATATTTACTCCCACAGAGTCCGCGAGTTAAAAAATTTCGGAAAATACGGCTCGGGTCTAAGCTGTCGTTGGGCCTTATTCACGGCTTGAGCTTTCGGATTCAAGCTGCATCGTATTTTCTACGAGCTAAGTTCAAAAAACCGGTTTAATATTCTATTTGGCGGATTTTCATGGTAGGAATTGGCGTAACCCAGTTTTTATGAGAACAAGACTCAACATTGAGCCTTATTCTGCCCTAAAACCAACCAAGGTTGGTTTTATTTTCATTGGTCCTAACTCATTAAGTCGAGCAGAAGATCTTGCAGCTGTCAATCACGTGGCACAAGCTGTCGTCAGAGTTGGGTCGAAGATTGGGTCTTAAAGTCGGGTTTAAGGAATTACGACTCGAGCTGAAATTTTTAAATCGTGGGCTCTGAAACTATAGGGACAATACAGAATTCATTTTTACATTTATGATTCCCTGCAGCCTGCAGGCATAAATACTTTTTTATCCAAACCATTGATAGACTACATAAAGCAAAGGTCAAAGTTAACCTTCATTTTTCAGATCATAATAGCTGAAGAGCTGGAGGTCGTCATTAATCCTTTGTGAATAACCCTATACAATACATATAGCCCTTCTATTCACCAGTAACACCCTACTCTCGTTTACCGATACTATGTAATAAAATGTTAACCCCTTTGTTGCTCAAAATAAATATTGACAAAGTTAAAAATTGATTAGAATAAAGAAGATATAAAAATAGTGTATTGCAAATAAATCTGTTTTCCCGTGGATTTTTTGTTTGATTATTATATATTAGTATACATAGTACATATTAAACTATTTTCTACATTTGTGTGTGTTTTCTTAAAAAAAACCTGTCTTTCAAGAATGTTGAAAGAGAGAAGTCCGGAATCCTTGAAATAATAAATCAATTGAATTAGTTGAACACCACGAAATATTGATAGAGAATTCCCGCACCCTGCAAAAAACATTGATTTAAAAACAAAAATTAAATCTGTCTTTGACGTACATCTCATCTTTAATATATTCATTGAAATTCTAGGTTATGTGCATACTGTGCACATAAAATGAATGTAAATACAGTAATCAGGTAATATGACTCAAACATATATCTTATTTAAAAATATTTTATAAAGCCTTTTCCAGAACTTTATTTTTTTTTGAACCTCTCCGGTTCCGTTATCCTCAACTGAACCGGCCGTATCATCTCCTAAACCTTATTCTCTCCTGAGCATTTTCCTCCTTATCCTCTCCTAAACCTTGCTTTCCTGAACCTTATCCTATCCTGAACCTAATCCTTTCCTAAATCTAATATTCTCTTAAACCTTATCATCTCCCGAACCTTATCCTCTCCTTAACCTCGTTCTGTCCAAAATTTTGTTTTCTCTTGAACCTTATCCGCTCCAGAACCTGGTTCTCTCCTGAGTCTAATCCTCTCCTGAACCTGGTACTCTCCTGATGCTTTAGTAAGAAATGTGATGTCAGATTAGGAAGTCCAGTAAATTCTCAGAGTACAAACTAACATTCAATATAATTTCAAACTGATCAAGTCATTTTTGCAATAAGAAAGGTTGAATTTCCCACGTCTCTTTTATCAAAGTAAATCAATCTACTCAATTTTCCAACCACGGTGTGACGGAGCCAGATGAATTTATATTTTAACCTTTGGGGATTTGAATTCAAGACGTCTTTTCGAATTCAATTCAAGTTTAGCTTGCACCTTTTTTAACAAACATTCATTAAAAAATATTGAAAACAAAACAACCATTGCTTATAAACTCATTTATTTTGTTCGAAATATTTTATGCTTACTAACAGCCAATATTCCAGCTATTCAAACTCCACCTGAAACTCCACCTGAGAGGGGAAAAAGGTTAAATTTGAGCGACGTTGCGGATAGAACTCTTGTAGCTCTCTAATTTTGATTGTATGCATAACTTTGAAACAGTCGAATTTATTTGGTCACATACCAGTTATCCAAAACATTTATATGTTTGTCTCTATAGATTTTTAAGAAGAGGAGTTTTGAGACATTGAAAGAATTAATAAAATTTAGTTTTCTTATAGCTTACAGCTACCGATAATAAAATTCTGCAAATACAGGGTGTCCCACAGCATACAAGAGAAAGGGACTAATCAGAAAAGTCGAAAAAACTAATCATTGTACAAAGCTGATATAAATTTTGTTTGGCACTTGCAGGTTTTGCGAGGATTATGTACGTATTTGACGCTAAAGCTTCAATGTGCATGCACCTTATATTTTTAACGTTTTCCAGAGGTTTTTACCGAAACCAATCTCTTCTTAAGTATTCTTATAGATTTGACATGCTTTTGTCGGGCAATACTTTAAACAAAAGAAATAAAGTTATGAAGATAAGTTTATAATTGATGACACTTCAGATAGGATGGATGTGATATCTTTCTATGTAGAGTATAATGTTCGTCATAAAACATCTCACAAAGTATAATAGTATATATATAGTATAGACATCAAAACTTTCTACAAATACAGAAGGAAAACATTATTTAAAGATACGTTTTATAATTTATATTAATAAACTACTTCTATCTATTTACTTTGCTAGGGTGTCTGTGTATGTGTTGGTTTGTTTTTTTGTATCCAATAACAGTAAAAACGGCTGAACCGGACGATCGGGCTCATCGAGGTGACTTAGGGAAATTTTTGTAAAGTTTTGAAAATCCACAAAAAAAGTTGTGAACAGAATAGGCCATATTTAATCAGTTGTAGTAAATAAATAAATTGTTTTTAAAAGGGATGAATATAAGGTTGCCGAAATGAGAACTACCATTTTACCCTGCACAACGGATGATACTGTAAAGATGACCTGAATCTCTGAGAATAAGACGATCCCTAGATTAAATCAAGTATTATGCTTTGAATTGCTTTGAAGATTTGTACAAAGGGAGAAACAAGTTTACAGTGGCAAGGAATCATGAATATAAAGAAACAGAGAGTTTAAATTCCATACAGTCGTCTCTAAACTAACATTATTCATACACATAATTTCCACACACACAAACATCAGACAACATATTTTTAATCCAAATTTTGTGAAGAATTATATATTTCCATGAACTAGACGAAACGAGATATAATTCATATTTGGGAAAATTAAACCAAATACTAATGAGAGGTTTGGTGAAGTTGTGCTGTCGAGGTTGCGTGATAATTCATGGGAAAAGTACACCAACCCAAGTATAAATATTTATCTATTACAAGATTTTAGAATTTCTAACTCAAAATTCAGCGGGACCCGGAAAACTGGTAAATAAGAAGACGACATTTTAGCAATCTTCCGTGCTGATGTTGTTAAATGAATTTGGGTTAAGTTAACTACAGTGTTTTATGTTCATTTGACTATTTAAAATCACAACTTAAGTTGAACAGTCGTCTTTCCATTATAAAATTGTAAAGTTTCTTCTGTAATTAAGATTAAAACTGATAAATTCAGCTTGAACATTGCTAATATTGACATTAGGAAAATTAAAAGCATGACGAATAGAATAAAATTATATATTTTAATTCATTGATTAGTCTTCCCGGGACACTCCTTCTTGTCAAGAATTTAGCTTTAAATGTTATTCGATAGTAATCGCGTTTTTCTTTGTTTACAATGTTAAAAAAGGCAAAATTTGCTCGTGAAATTCTTATGAATGGTACACGATGCAATATATGTTTTTGCAATTCACATGGCCTCCATGGCCCCTTCTTTCCAAACCAAGCGACGATATTTTTCTTCATCAAAATAAAACATGAAATGTGATTACTTCTCTCAAATCTTAAAATCTAAAAGATCGAATGAACAAATAATATATTTGTTTAAAACACGAAAACTCGATTGTTTTGTTACGTCGGCCATAACATTACACAGTTCACATTATTCACATTATTCACATTATTCACATTATTCAAGTCTTTTTATGTAGACTCCCCCTGTAGCTATATATTCATTAGTCTCTTCTTTTTAAAATGTTTTTCGTAAACACTAGCTGAACTTTCAGCTTCTGGCTGTGCATTATTTAAACTTCAAAACTTTTATTCAAATAAATCTAATCTCATTAGACTTATCTAAACTAACAATACAATTAAGTGCTTTGTTGATCCTTATTTAAAACTTGTGCTGTGTAGATCCAATCCTCGTATCTAATCCTCGAATCTTATCCTCGGATCTAATCCTCGAATCTTATCCTCGGATATAAACCTCGAATCTTATCCTTGGATCTAATCCTCGAATCTTATCCTCGGATATAAACCTCGAATCTTATCCTCGGATCTAATCCTTGAATCTTATCCTCGGATATAAACCTTGAATCTTATCCTCGGATATAATCCTTGAATCTTATCCTCGGATCTAATCCTCGAATCTTATCTTCGGATATAATCCTTGAATCTTATCCTCGGATATAATCCTTGAATCTTATCCTCGGATATAATCCTTGAATCTTATCCTCGGATCTAATCCTCGAATCTTATCCTCGGATCTAATCCTTGAATCTTATCCTCGGATATAATCCTTGAATCTATTCCTCGGATATAATCCTTGAATCTTATCCTCGGATATAATCCTTGAATCTTATCCTCAGATATAATCCTTGAATCTTATCCCCGGATATAATCCTTGAATCAAATCCTTGGATCTAATCCTAGAATATAATCCTAACAGCTAACCAGGCTTGTTATTAAGAAGTATATTTAAAGCTGCCAGTAGCAAAATCTGGATTCAGCTAGGTAAAAAACCTCCATTCTCCAGGTTAATACAACGTTAAAAGATTAATGCAGGCCTTCGATGTTTCTTGTTGTTCCGTTTTTTTCTTTTTCGTTTGTGTGCAGGGGTGTATACCCCCTATTTACACCCCTGGCTAAAATTTCTCTAGTTTGTCATTTTCTCTCTCACACCCTGTATTTCTGAAAACTGTAAGAAGTGCCTTGCTTCTGAGGCTTAGATCTTTTAAATGAAACTTTATCTAAATCCTAAAATTCTCTTTATGAATTAAACCATTGATACAAATCCTCGACTAAAATCCTTGAATTAAAGTTTTGCCTAAAACCCCAAGACGTGAATCCTTGCCTTTATTAAAATTTGAACTTTAATCTAGGGCGCCATACACCTTTGCCTGATACCCTTGACTTGAATTCTTTATTGAAATCCTTAACTTTATTCTTTAACTGTAAACCAAATGAATTCATGTTCTAATTGCAGTTTGCACTAAATTCTAATTTACCTTGAAATTAATTTATAGCTCCTCTGTTAACACTTTATATATTAAGTACAGGGCAATAAATTAAACCAAAAGTAAAATTGGAATAAAGTAGAGTTGAAGTTTACTTTAAGACTGTATTTAAATCATTTACAACTATACTTTGCAGGCAAAGTGGTCGCGGGAACCCATCTTCAATTAAAATATTTAATTTCCTGGAAAAGTATTTATTAACAATTTTAACATCTTTTAATATTATAATGCGGTATTTTTTTCACGAAAAGTTTGATTAGCGGGGTATTTTTCCGCAAGTAATTTTTCCAGGTTTTCCTAATGTTGGGAAATCATGGGCCGGTAAAAATGCCATTAAAAAATAAAATAAAATATGTAACACTAAATCCTAATTGTAAAGTATACAGCCTTGATGTATGATGGAACGTAGGTATGTCATTATTTGGTATATTCTTAATTCTCTTCTGCTAAATATTACCTAGGCAATTTTAATGGAGTTTGACTGACATACAATATCGTTAAGAAAAAGGGCATAG